TATCTCTCAGAGCACAGTGGAAAGGCTGCAAAAATATAACTGATGGGAAACTCTGAAGGAGAACAGGAGTAAAGGATACCATCAAGGAATTGTATGACAGGAAAAGAAGATTGTGTTGGTCACTTGGCAAGAAGAAGGAATGGCGAATGGACAGCTAGAGTGACCCATTTATATACTTGAGATGTTGATAAAAAATGAGGAAGGAGTCTAGCATGTTGGGTGGATCCTCTTTGCCAAATTTGTGGGAGAATGAGGTCAAGATTCTTAAAGGATAGGTAGGCATAGATGGGTTAGGGTCTGCATTACTGGAGGAACTTTCTAATCAGTAGGATTACTGATCCATTTGAGTATTTTAGTATGGTGATATTTAGGAGAAAAAAAGGGAATTGAATTTCCATCCCTTTTGTAACCTTTATTACAATGTTAATACCGCCCCCCCGAATAAAAAATATTAGTTCACATAAGAAATAGAGGAAAGAAATGACAGTCAAAATAATGGATGTATTTTCCTTTTAATTACTCCTTAATGCATTTTTTGTATTTTTGCTCCTTAATCCCATCCCTTCACTTTTTGGAATGCTATGCTTTTATAACCATTAAATATATATATTATATATATCATATACATAATATATATATATATATATATACATGTAAATTATATATATACAATATATTATGCACAATACATATACTATACTTTTTTGCTTAGAGGTGATAGTTCAGTCTATGAGAGGTGATGAGGTTACCAAGAGAGATCATAGGGGGAGAAGAAGTCTTAGAATAGAATACCGTGGAAGCAGCCACAGTTAGGGGGCATGATACAGATGGTGAACCAGCAAAGGAGACTGTTAAGGAGCAAGCAAACAGGAGGAAGAGAACCAGGAGAGTGGTGTTGCAATGCAACAGAGAGGTTTAGGAGGATGAAGACTGAGAAAAGACCAGCAGATATGTCAAGTAATCATTAGTAATTCTGGATAGAATAGTTTTAGTAAATGATTAGGTGCAAAGGTTTGAGAAGGGAGCAGGAGAATAAGAAACTAAAGCAATAAGTATAGATGGCTTTTCCAAGTTGTTTGACTTGAAGATATTTAGCTAAGAAGGGTTTGAAAGAAATAGGACATTAGCTTGAGGCAGACTTGGTTATGTTTGAAGGCAGTAGAGAAGGGTGGTATGAGTATAATGGAGGGTGTAATTTTCTGGAAAAGACAAGAGGTGATAGGATGAAATGCACATGTGTTGATCTTGGTAAAGAGAAGGGCCATCTCTGTCATAGATGGGGGAGTAAGAAGAAGAAAGGAGGAGAGAATGGGAGATGTCAAGGGGTTTTGTTATGAAGAGAGCATGATAAGAAGGAGCTCACATTTAGTGGCCTCAATATTTTCAGTAATAGAGTCAAGGTGCTTAGTTGAGAGAAAGGGGTGAGGAGAAGTTTGGATTAGCCTTTGTGAAGAGTGAGCTAGGAAATCAAGATGGAGAATCAATTTGAGAAGAATAAAAGAACTTCCTTGTGCAGTAAAGGCCAATTTGTGAGTGGATAACATGAATTTATGATGTACCCAGTTAGCACAATTGTGAGATTTCCTGTAGCTGCATTTAGCAGGTTGTGAATAAGAAATAGGATTTGTTGTTGGAGCAATTCAGGGCTGAGTTTTGGCAAAAGATGAGTGTGATAAGATAAGGGATGAAGAGATTTGAGAGGAGAAGACAATGTAGGAGTAGAATGGCCAGCTACTGGATGGAGATTGGAAAGGGAGAAAAAGTGAAGTCAGAACTGGGGTAATGGCCCCAGAAAGTACTAAGGGGTGAAAGGATTGGAGGTCTCAGTGAAGACAATGAATAGGTTTAGGATGGGATAAAGCCTAGGGAGAGGTCAAATTACAGAAGCTTATGGTGAGATAGAGGAATGTCAGAGTTTCTAATTAGGGAATATATATTTGGTTAATAGATGACTATTTTTTGAGAGGACATGATGTCTGTGCTGTATCGAAATCAATATTTTTTTTTTAACATAGAGGCACACCATGCTGAACTTCTATTGAAGTAAAAAAGAAGGAAACAAACACTTATTAAGTGCTACTATATGCCAGCCACTGTGCTAAACTTTACTGACTCTTTATTCAGTGCTGTTTAGAATGGAGATGATTAGACACTGGATGGACCTCCAGGGTCTGCTTTGGTCATCTTAGTCAGGGCCATACTGAAGTACTGGGAGACCACACAACTTATGAAATATCCTAGCCCTCATCACTTTGCAGTAGCCTTTTAATTGATCTTTCTATATAAAGTCTCACCTCACTCCAGTTCATTCTCCATGTAATATAACTTCCAAAGTGCTTTTTTCCTAAAGAATAGGTCTGATTGTCACCCCTTTATTAGTAAACTCCAGTTGTTCCTATTAGTTCTAGGATCAAACATAAAGTCTTTTTGGCATTTGTAGCTCTTAGTAACCTAGCTGTGTCCTACCTTTCCAGTTTTCTTACATATTATTCCCTCATACACATTTTATTATCCAGTCATACTGATCTATTTGCTGTTTCTCAGACACAATGCTCTATCTCATCATCTCTTGTGTACTGGTTGCCTTCATGCCTAGAATGCTCACCCTTCTTACTTCTTCCTCTTAAAATCTTTGCCTTTCTTCAAAATTTTTCTCAAATGTCATTTTATGCAGAAGGCTGTTTCTGGTCCATCCAAATGCTAGCATCTTCTCAATTAAGGTTATCCTTCATTGATTCTACACATTTTATATATAACTATTGTAGACGTATTGTTTCTCCCAGTAGAATGTAAGTTCCTTGAGGACAGTATCTATTTTATGTTCTATTTGTATCCCTAATGATTATCAAGGTACCTGGAACATATTGAATGTTTAATAAATGTTTATTTTTTAAAAAGAATTTAAAATTTTTAAAAATTTTGAATTCTAAATTCTGTCATTGCCTCTAACCCTTCCCTCACCTATTGAGAACGCAAGCAATATTATACTCATTATAGATGTGAAGTCATGCAAAAACATTTCTATAGTAACCATGTTGTGGGAAAAAAAGCAAGAAAAAATTTAACAAGTGAAAAAAATATACTTCAATCTGCACCCAGTTCATCAGTTCTTTCTCTCTGGAGGTAGATAGAATTTTTCATTATGAGTTCTTTTGGAATTGTCATGGATCATTATTTTGGTCAGGGTACCTAAGTGTTTCATAGTTGATTATCATTACCAATATTGTTGTTACTGTGTGCAGTGTTCTCCTGGTTCTAGTCACTTCACTTTGCATCATTTGCATCACTTATTCATGTGAGTCTTCCCAAGTTTTTCTGAAATCATACTCTTATTTGGCTGTTCCCCAACTGATGGGCATTTTCCAGTCTCAGTTCTTTGCCACCACAAAAAAAAGCTTCTCTACATATTTTTGTACATAAGGTCATAAGTGCCTATTAATGGATTGATGGTTTGTAGTTTCTATTTATTCCCATTCACAGAAAGGTAAATAGTTCCTGTGAAAATTGGAAAGACATACTAGAGAGATATAAAGGGTCTTATTTTCCATGGCCACAAACTGTAGACTCTCAGTAAGCCTTTTCTAATGCATCTCATCCCCCAAAATGGTAAGGGAAAGAAGCATGCACATCTCACCTCAATTATATGTCCTGCTGACAGTGGACTAATCAAATCATCTTCATACATTAAGGATAGCTCAATGAATAAATATTATTCTTGGGCTTGCATTTTTTAGAGCACATTTAGAGCACAGAGTTGTATTAAGAATGTTTTACCTATATCATTTAATACAGTTTTGTGTACTGCTTAACCTTTTATCCTCACACAATTTTTTTTTCAAAAAACTTTTTTTGAAAACCCAGGTCATATTAGCCACACAGTTTTAATAACTTTAAGACATTTTGAAATTGAGAAAAAAGACACTTAGGTCTTGAAGAGGTAAAGTTTTGCTTTTTAAAAATACTATATATTAAACATGTTGGGCTTTGTACAGGCTTTTTTGATCCTTGTTTTAAGCTAGTAGCTCCCTCTAGGGTGAATCATAAGTACTCAAGTGAATGAGAAGTAGTTACAAACAGAAATGATTGCTCCTGCCTGAGTTTCCCTCTCTGAAGAAGTTTAGGATTTACTGTTAGGCGAGGGATAAATCCTAAGAGTGTGTATACACATACATGCATGCACACACATTTATCTATCTACACATATTATACACACACATATATGCATATGTGTGTGTATATATATTATATATACATACAAACATACATTTATATGTATTTGGCCTGGACTTATGATTTCATTTATGTAGGTAAACAGAGGTGTGGAAATTCCTTCCAGTGCAGACCATCAGTTTATCTGTAACTTAGAGTCTTAGAGATTTTCTTGAGGCTCTGGGATGAAGTGATTCACCAATGGTGACATAGCTAGTCCATGCAGAACAGCAGAACTTTACCCAAATCTTCCTGACTCTAAGGCTGACCCTCAGTCTATTTCACCAGGATGTCTCTCAAACATTTTTATTCTCAAGCAAATAATGTTTCCAAAGGTTACTGGGAGGGAGGACAAATTTTCCGTCATGACATTTATTTATCTTGCTACTGACAATTGTACAACTCCTTTTTCTTTACCTAGAGCTGAAACTAGCAATGTGTATTTTTGATATTAAAAATAGGAATATTTGCAATAAAATTAATGATAGCAAATGATTTGTTACTGACATAGCCAGAAATCTAAATAATTAACCAATCAATAATTATGGAATGGCTGCTGTTTGCTTAGCACTAAAGTCAATATTTTGGGGTACTCTTTCCCTATTCCCTGAACACATCTTTTTTCTCTAGCCATCTAGATATCAGATCATCAAATATAAACCTAATTTGTGACCTATAGCTTTAAGAACAAACTATCTTATATTAAAGTTTCTTTAACATGTTATAATGCATGACATTTCTCTTAAAGAGTACCACTTAAAATATATCACGTTTTTCCTTCTGGATTATAGATGAAAGTGCCCAGGAAGTTTCACAAGTGAAGAAAAGTTTGAGTGAAAAAGTTTCACTCTATAGAGGTGACATCACATTGCTTGAGATTGATGCCATAGTCAATGCAGGTAAGTTGCTTTATATTTGATTTAAAGTGTTTAGAGAGACATTGACTATGTATTTAGCATTTAAAAATATTCCATCCTTGCATAATATAATGTGAATATTTTAAATAAATTTTATGTTTCTTGTATCCATCAAAGTGTCTGGAAACATTTTAATCACTTAGGCATTTGTGTTGTTGAATAGAAAGTAAGATCAAAGGTTAATTGCACATGCTCACCATAATTAGTATTCTAACCTATACAGGGAAGTCATATGCTAAATAGGGGTAAGTATATGTGACCAATGTAGTGTGATAGATAGTGGGTATGACTTACTTAGTGATTACTTCACCTACAGTGTTATCTCAAAAAGGTTCTGTCATTCAAGAGTTAGAACTGAACTTTTCAAATATGTGGCTACAAGCACTTCATACTTTAATTTCACATTTGGAGAAGGAGCAAAAGAATCATATGAATCGTATTAGGTATAATCTAAATATAGAGAAAACTTTGAAAACTTGTAACTGCAATTATTTTGGTTCACAGTTTTTTAAATTAATTTTAATTTTTAAATGGTATATAATAGATGCTTTTTAAAATGAATCAATAAAGTCTTTTCAGTTATGTTAAATGTGATGTCTATTAACATATTTCACTAAAAGTAAATAAGTACTGTATGTTTCAGTTTATGTAGATATGCCAAGAATTCTATTTCATTGTCTCATCCTGAGTTAGAGGATTTCTGGCTTCTTGAAGGCTATTGCCAGTGAAGTATAAATTTTGACTGGTCTGAGTAAGCTGGAAAGATTTCAGATATAGAACTCAAGATGGGCTGTATGTCTGTTGGCCCTGGGGGAAGACTCTAGTGGAGGTTCAATGTATAGTTACCTTTGAATGTAAGAAGCATCTCCAGTTAGTAGAAACACTAATAGATCTAGAGTTTGGAGGATAATCCTACATTAGTTCTTCAGGAATAGAGTCGACTATTATGCATAGTCAAGTAAAACAGATTTCCATATGGGATATGTCCAAAAATTAAGGGAGATGAGGAGATAGAAAAAAAAATTAAAAGATAGCGAAAAAGAGTTAAGCACAAGATTAAAAGAAAAGAACTAGTTGGGCAGCTCCTGCCTAATATAGGTAAGAAAGTAAGCCTTTTAGTTAGGGTGTGTACTACCACTAGATGGCAAAATTTCCATAGAATAGGGGCAGGTTCCTGATGAAATTCAGTATTATTGCCAACTAGGAAAGGGTGGGAATTGGGGAGCAATGCAGTCAGCCTGCTATTCCATGAGAACCTTGACACGTGCTTTGTATGCCTGAACATGCCAACAAATGTTGTGTTATAGTTGTGACCGTGACCATGTCTTGAACAAGTCCCCTTCCATGGAAGTGATGAAGCACTGCCAATGATATATGTGTAGAAGGGGAGGGGTAGGATTTCATCAGATATTGATTTTCCCTTGGATACCAACGCTGTGTCTTTTTAGAGAGCAGGTGATTAGATCTGAGAATAGGCATTTTATGAGTGCTGTTTTGTGAATTAAAACTAGTTGGGAGGTAGGGGCAAAGTTTGCTATCTGTAGAAGCCTACCTGTTGAGGTGAACGATCCTTTAGGTGTCCACATTTGGCCTTTCATGACAGCATATCTGAGTGCATATTGTGATGTTGAGGTAACTTAAGAAATAATGAAGTTGAATCTACCAAAAATGATGTTCAATTTCTGGTGTTGATTGATCTGTAGAACTATCTGAAGGAAGTGCTCTAGGTTCTTAAGATTAGTTTGGACAAATGATAATTGGTATACCATTGCTATAATTTACTGTTTTCATATTAAGGTGGTGCCAATATGACTTTTACCATGAATAGTTACTTTTCCTACATTGTAGGTTTTTTTTTTAAAATTTCCTGTTATGGCCAGCTTGTAGGATAAATACATGCAGGGCTGGGGTGTGGAGCAGGGTGATGGGAGAGGTAGGCTTCCACTATGACACTGGATATTGTACAAGAAGATGGAGATAGGGCTAAATGCTTCTTCTGATTTTGAAACACTTCTACCTCCAATGAGCACTAGAAAACCTTGGGGTGGTTTCAGCAGATGGTGAAAGGTGCTGTCAGGGTAGAGAACATGGAGATAAAGCAGCTATGGCCAAAGAACTATTGCAGATTTCTCTGTAAAGACAGAGGTCTCTCACTGCAATATGAACTCCATCTTCCTTGGATTCATACAAACTCCTTATTGGCCTAGTATGTATCCTCCGACACTGGGAATACAAAGACAAGGAACTTATAGACTATCAGGCAGCATGACCTATACGTAGATATAAAGGCTAGGTAGTTTGAGGAGGGAGAGAACACCAGCAACTAAGGGTAATTAGAGAATGCTAGATCAAGCTAGTTGAACCTGAGCTGAGCTTTGAAGGAAGGTCAGTCTTCTGAAAGGCAGAGCTGAGGAGGGAGTATATTTTAGGGTGGAAATGGCTGGCATGATTGCATAGAAAAAGATATTGATTGTCGGGTTCTGGGGACTACTAGTAATCTAGTTTGGCTGTAGTGTAGAGTTCATGACAGGGAGAAGTGTGAAATGAAACTAAAATTTTCATTTTTCCAATTTGGCAAATGGCTGGTGTGGGTGTTGGTGTGGGTGTTGGAAGCTGACAGACAAATTTGGTGTGCTGGGCCGGGCTCTGGGAATAAATGAGTATATCCATTAAGTATCCCATGACTACCTTGCTCTGGCAGATCCAGACATACCAAATTCATGAATCCTTAAAAAACTGCTGGAGTGTTACACAAAATAATTGACATAACCAGGTATATAGACTGTATCAGGACTAGAAGGTTTTTATCTATTTCACCACTTTCCATGTTTGAACCGGATGTATGCCCCATGAAAGTCAATTCCATCACCCCTGCCAGCTGGTCTATCAGGTTAGATATAAAGGATTGGTGGTGCTGCTTTCTTTTTTCTTTTCTTTTTTTCTTTTTCTTTTCTTTTTTTCCCTCCCTTCCTTCCTCCCTCCCTCTCTCCATCCCTCCCTCTCTCCCTCCCTCTCCCTCTCTCCCTCCCTCCCTCCCTCCCTCTCTCCCTCCCTCCCTCTCTCTCTCTCTCTTTCTTTCTCTCTTTCTTTCTTTCCTTCTTTCTTTCTTTCTTTCTTTCTTTCTTTCTTTCTTTCTTTCTTTCTTTCTTTCTTTCTTTCTTTCTTTCTTTCTTTCTTTCTTTCTTTCTTTCTTTCTTTCTTTCTTTCTTTCTTTCTTTCTTTCTTCAGAAGTGACTTGAGCAGGATCACATAACTAGTAAGTATCTGAGGTCAAATTTGACTCCAGGTCTAGCATTTTCTCCACTGTGCCACCTAGCTTGCTTCTTGCTGGTCTCAATAGTTAGGGTTATAGAGCTATGGCGTAGTCATAATCCCCGAATGTTTTTAACTAGTTTTCACTGGGGCTCAAGTCTGGGAGATGGAATATTGGATGAATTCCTTCTTTCTGTTCTTTTTTTTTGAGAAATTCTACACTGTCTCTGGCTTGGTCAGAGAGTACCCATACAGTTGAGTTTGGGATTCTTGGAACTAGATTAATTGCATAACTGTACAGCCTATGTGGGAACAACTTCTCTATCTTGATCGTGCCAGACACATCCCAATGGTCTTGGTATTGGAGCAGGAACTCTGGTTTGGGGCTGTAGCTGGGTGTGGTATGTATCTGTTCTGAGCAATGTTTCTGGTAGTGATGGGAGTGAATTGTAGTTCTTCCTGAGTTATATGTCATAGCTGAATTGTGTAGCACTCTTTGACTGATCACTAATATTATTGGGAAGAGTTAGGGATATCTAGGTTGAATGCCTTTTACGCTTGTTCTTGCAGAAACTTGGTTTCCTCATTTCCTATTGGTCCAAACCAATGTGAACATCTCTCAATTAATTCCATTACCACTTAATTGTTTCCAACACCATACGCTGAGACTGTATGTTACTGTTGGGGCGCTTGCTTTCTCTTTGGCCAAAATCAAGTTGATAATACTTGTAGAACCCCCTGATTCCACTATCAATGGGATCTATAATATCCATGGGCTTGGCAGTTTTATCTTGAGAGTTATTATTAGTACGAGTGAAGATCAGGAGTAGGGTTTGAGAACTAGTTATCTTGAGAGTAGATAGGGAGACCCAGGAGGTCTTAACCTGTGGTGGTATGCAGGACACTTTATGGATGATGCTTTCCTGTGTGGAACTCTACTCGAGTAGAAAACTACCTGGAAGAAAGAAATAGGCATATCTAGTACCCGCCATGCCTTACCAACTCTCAGATAAGCCTTAGTGGTAAGCTGTTGACTGACAATCTACCAGGTGGTAGACTAGGAGAGACCTAATGGGTCTACCACAGATTGTATTATGACTAGGGGTGGGACTTGATGTGTACACATTGTTGGATAAGTATGCAGGGTGTTAGTCATGCTCACATGGGTTATGTCATGACAGATGAAAGAGGCCAAACCTTGCAGAAAAGTTAATTCACCAAAGCAGCAATAGTCCAGGCCAGGTCCTGGTTTAGGAAGATATCATTGTTTGTATTGGAGCTTGATAATTTATTGATCAGCATTCTTCTCCATTCTAAAGGGAATGTGTGTGTATGTATGTGAAAAGTCTCATTTAGCTCATGAAAAAACCCTTCCACATCACGTTCTGGAAACTATTTCTTGTAAAGTGCGGGGTGATACAGAAAGCATTTGGTTCTTTAGGTGGATGGAGCTGTGGGGCATCCCCCAGAGTAAATGTCTATGAATGTAGCAGGAACCTCCTCACTCCAGTCCAAAGGAGGCTGGTTAATAGACCATTAAAAACTGTTCTTATGACATGGACCTTGAAGGAAACATCACAGGAGGACTCTCACATAGTTTTGTAAAGAAGCAGAAGTTAAGTAGGGAGCAGCAGACAACTGATTTTCTGGGCCCCCAAATGCAAATAAAATCATGAAAAATGAACCTTTATTAAAAGCCCAAGAGAGGTGACAGCCTAATACAGTGGAAA